CGGATTGAGTTAGCATGGCAAGACTTAGTTCATCTATTATTTGGGTTATTTATTCATTTGACAAACATGGAAACATTACATGCCTGCTATGTGAAAGACACTACATTCTGCCCTGCCTCCGTTTTATTTTCAGCGTATATCTTTTCAGATTTATTTTTCAAAAGAGATTATAGTTCTATGATCTTTATTTTTGCTATTTTCATAATTGAGCACTTCATTGTTTGAAGGGTAGTGGGTACATTCTCTTTCTTTGGTACCAATAATTGTTACCATTGAGCAGGCACTATGTAATGCATTTTGCAACATTCTCTCATTTACTTCTCTCAAAAATCCTGTAAAATGGAAATGATAAAAATGTAAGGCTTTAAGAGCACTGAGTAACTTGTCTAGGATCATGGAGTAGTTAGTAGCAAAGCTGCAGCTGGAGCTCAAAACTCTGACTCTAAAGCTCATGCTCTTAACCACTGCACAGTATATCTGCTCTTTCAGTCAGAAAATAAATGAATAATGGAAACCAAATTATTTCTTCCTTAAAATTCTCCTTGTGGTTTAGGTGCAGAACTAACATGACCTCCTCCACAGAGTCTTTGCTGATAACTGCCCCTCTCCCTGTGCTTCCCATTCTTCCTCCAGTTGAAGGAAACCTAATGTTTTATACCATTACATCTTTCTGAATTCTGTAGCACTTGGATCAGAGACCATCAGTCCTTCATTTGGTATCTCCCTGAAGCACCTAGTACAAAATCTTGCATGTAGAGTTGGTGCTTGATCTTGTATAAGTAAAGAATGAATTATTTCCTTGTCTTTACCAATCCAGGAGACTTGGATGGTTCTGTGCTGCGCCTGCTTTTGTGCTTTAAATAAAGTAAAATGAAATAATTATGAGCAGATACTCTTTTGTGTCTTTGTATTTGAAATCTGCTATCAAAGCATATGGTTGGGTTTTGTTGTTAATCCAGACTGACAGTCTCTGCTTTTTAATTGGATGGTTTAGTCCATTTACATTTGATGTAATTATTGATATGGCTGGATTTGACTACCATTTTGCTGTTTTCTGTTTGTCTTGCTGGGTTTTTTTGTTTGTTTCTCTGTTTTTTCTTTATTGCAAGTTATAAACCTTACAATATTGTTGAGTAGTTTCTGCTATAGGCAGTCTTAACCTTTTTTAAAGTAGCTTTTTGTTTTACTCACTTATTTAACATTTTCCTGCTCTTTACATCTGAGAGTTACCATCTAAGTGTCAATTTCTTTTAGCTTTCAGAATTATTGTTAGCATGCATTGTAGTGCAGGTCTGCTAGTGATGCATTCTCTCAGCCATTGTGTTTCAAAATATCTTTATTTCATCTTCATTTTTGAAGTTTTGCTGGTTAGAGAATTATACTGGTAGACGAAAAACTTTTTTTCTTTCAGCATTTGAAGATGTTCTGTTGTCTTCTGGCCTCCATTATTTCTGTTCAGAAATTGGTTGTCGTTAGTATCAGTGCACTATATGTAATATATATCTATGTATAGATATATAGATATATATTTTTTCCCTTACTGCCTTCAAGATTTTTCTCTTTTCTTTACATTAGCAGTTTGACTATGATTTGCCTCAGCAATTTTTTTTTTTATTATTTTTTTAAATTATCCTGGTTGGCATTTATTGAGCTTCTTGGATCTGTAAGTTGATGTCTTTTTACGGTTTTGGGCCATTGTTTTTTTCAGAATTTTTTTTTTTTTAGATAGAGTTTTGCTCTTGTTTCCCAGGCTGGAGTGCAATGGTGTGATCTCAACTCACTGCAACCTCCGCCTCCCACGTTCAAGCGATTCTCCTGCCTCAGCCTCCCAAGTAGCTGGGATTACAGGTGCATGCCACCATGCCCAGCTAATTTTTATATTTTTAGTAGAGACAGGGTTTCACCACGTTGACCAGGATGGTTTCGATCTCTTGACCTTGTGATCCACCTGCCTCAGCCTCCCACAGTGCTGGGATTACAGGGGTGAGCCACCGTGCCTGGCCTCAGATATTTTTTGTGACCTATTTTCTGTCTCCAGTTACATGTCATTACACTGCCAGATACTGTAACAGTTATCCAGGCTCCATTTGTTTTTTTTTTTTTTCCCTTCAATATTTTCTTCAGATTGGATAGTTTCTGTTGATTTAACTTCAAGTTCACTGACTCTTTTTCTGTCATCTTTTGCTATTAAAATATACAGTGAACTTTTTACTTTATTTCTTGTCAGATCTGGAATTTCCATCTGGTTTTTAAATTTAATGAAACATTTTTACAGTGGTTAGATACACATAATGTAAAACTCATCATCTTACCCATTAAAATGTATATAGCTCAGTGATATTAAGCACATTCATATTGCTGTGCAACCATCACCACCATACATCTCCACAATGCTTTTTCATCCTGCAAAACTGAAATTCTATGTATTTGGCTGTTGTTATTAGTTTCTGTTTCTCTATTGATCTTGTCTTTATTCCTTATTCAGATATTTTCCTTTAAGTGCCATAAAGTTCCTCTCTGCTAAATTGCAACACTGGGTCATCTTGGTGTTGGTTTCTATAGATTGCTTTTTTCTTGAGTACAGGTCACATTTTCTTGTATCTTAGAATGTCTAGTGATTTTTGATTGAACACTGGACATTATGAATGATGTAGAGATTCTGGATTCTGTTATGATCTTCAGAAGGGTATTTTTTTTTCTTGGCATATAGTTAGTATGGCAAGATTTAAGCTCAGCTCTAAACTCCTATCTCCACTGCATTAGCCGTAGTTGAAATCTCCATGCAGTTCTTTCAATTTCCAGTTGTTACTTTTTGCTGGCCCCCTTGGGTTCTCCAGCCAAGGATCTGAACATATATTTAGTTGCCGATTTGGGAGTTTCACCCCCTACGTGGCTCCCTCCCTTTCAAGGTTTAGTCTGAACGTTCTGGCTGCCCTTCCAGCCCTGAACTTTGTCCCTGTCACTCTGAACCATGCCTTATAGGGATTGGCATGTATTCTTAGGCAAAAAGCTACAGATGTATAAATCTCACCAAGTAGAGTTGTTCTTTTTCAAGGGTAGCCTCTCTTTCAATTTCTGCCTGCTTTTGATCATTCTCCTAGTGCCTTCAAATAATTTAAAATATGTTGTCCAAAGTTTATAATTGTTTTCTGTGGAAGGGTGATGTGACACTGCTACTCTGTCACTGTTGGAAGCCAGATGCCAAGCAGATACCTTTTGGGGCCTATGTTCAGACGCTTCCCTTGTTCTCAGCCTTGTGCAAACCTGGGCTGTGGAGGAAATAGGGCTTCTTCTCAGGGAGCTCCATTTTCAGCTGAGGAGCAGAGAGGGCACGGGGAACCCTGTGGGAGTATCTTAGTCAGCTCGGACTGCTGTAACAAAATGCCACAGATGAGTGGCATAAACAATAGAAATTTATTTCTCACAGTTCTGGAAGCGAGAAGTCCAATATCAAGGTGCCAGCAGGGTTGATTTCTGGTGAGGCCTCTCTCTTTGGCTTGCAGACAGCTGCCTTCTCATTGTGTCCTCATATGAACTTTTTTCCTGTGTGCTTGTGCTCCTAGTGTCTCCTCCTCTTATAAGGATTCTGGTCCTATTGGATCAGGCCTCATCCTTATGGCCACATTTAACCTTAATTATATCCATGAAGGCCCTGTCTCTAAATATAGTCACACTGAGGGTTAGGGCTTCAACCTGAATTTGAGGGTATACAGTTTTGCCCATAACAGAGATTAATCTAGCTTCTAGTCTCAGGATTTTGTGAGGGAGGTAGGGGAGACAGAGTTGTGTTGTACCAATGGCATCAGGACGTGTTTAATCAGTCACCATGTAAATGCAGAATGTTCCAGGCATAGCATGAAGGGCTAAGGATTCAGTTATGGATAAGACTGGCCCCATCCCTGCCCTCATGAAACTCACAGCCTAGGGGGAGAAAAGATGTATAGACATGACATTGCAGAGTGATGAAGTAGGGGACATTCAGGAAGAGGTGCCCAAATAAAGGTTAGGGGTCAGGAGAGGCTTTTTCAAGAAAATGTCTTTCTTTCTTTCTTTTTTTTTTTTTTTTGAGACAGAGTTTCACTCTTGTTGCCCAGGCTAGAGTGCAATGGCACGATCTTGGCTCACTGCAACCTCCGCCTCCTGGGTTCAAGCGATTCTACTACCTCAGCCTCTTGAGTAGCTGGGATTACAGGCATGTGCCACCATGCTCAGCTAATTTTGTATTTTTAGTAGAGACGGGGTTTCACCGTGTTGGTCAGGTTGGTCTCGAACTCCTGACCTCAGGTGATCCACCCGCCTCGGCCTCCAAAGTGTTGGGATTACAGGCGTGAGCCATTGCGCCTGGCCTATCAAATGTCTTTCTAAATTAAAATGCTTCTGTGGAAGGATAGCATGACCAAGCTACTCTGTCACTGTTGGAAGCCAGATGCCAAGCAAAAAGCTTTCGGGGCTTAGGATGAGTGAGGTGTCAGCTGTGGAAGAAAAGAAAATCAAGCAGAGGGAATGGTAAATGTGAGAGGCTCCCGGGTTGAGCAGGGCATGCCAGAAGAACAGAAAGTCGATGAGGAGAGGTGGAGCTGGAGCTGGGAGAATTGGGGAAGTGGAGTGGTGAGGGATAAGGCCAGAGAGGTAGGCTGTTGGATTGTAACTGCCTATCTCTCTAGAGAGTAAACTCCTTTTTTCTGTTCTGTTTGTTTTTTGCTTGTTCTTTTAAAATTTTTATTATTTTTTTATCTTTTATCTTTTTTCTTTTGAGAGTAAACTCCTTAAAGACAATGAATAAGTCTCCTTCAGCTTGGTGTCCTCTGCCTGGCAGAGAAGCTGTGTAGTAAATGTTTACAGGTGCCCTTTGTTAGGATTTGTGGGGTGAGGTGGAAAGGTTGGGCGTGCAGGTGACCTCACCTCCTTGGTGAGGTAGGCAAGGGCCTGGAGGTTGCTGACCATCTCTGGCTGTACCTTGTCCCTGTGTCCTGGGTCACGTGGTGTTTTGTTGTTGTCAGGCCTGGACAGCGAGTCTGCCTCCAGCAGCATCCGCTTCAGCAAGGCCTGCCTGAAGAACGTCTTCTCGGTCCTGCTCATCTTCATCTACCTGCTGCTCATGGCTGTGGCCGTCTTCCTGGTCTACCAGACCATCACAGACTTTCGTGAGAAACTCAAGCACCCTGTCATGTCTGTGTCTTACAAGGAAGTGGATCGCTATGATGCCCCAGGTAGAGCCTGCCCCTGGGCCAGGCATCCGGGCCCCAGATCTAGGGTGTCGGCTGGCAGATACTCCCTGAGCTGCCATTGTATTTGTGGCACTATGGGCAGGGCAGAGGAGTCCAACCAAGCATAGTCTAGGTATAGCGTCTACACCCAAAGAGCTGCTGTTGGGAGTGTGGTACGTGCTGAGGAGAGAAATGAACAGAGCCTAGAGTAGCTATTGCAGGCTACTAGAGGGGTCAGGGAAAGCTTGGCAGAGAGGTAGGATTTGAGCTGGGCCTTGAAAAGCACATAGATGGGAAGAGAGTGTCTTTGGGATGGGGATCAGCAGAGCGAGGGGGTGTCTAGGGAGGCAGAGGGCTTCTCTGGAGAGGATGAGACTAACTTGGCTGGGGCCAGAGGGCAGGGATGAGGAGAAGCAGGAATCAAGGCTGGACTGTGGGGTGGGGAGGGTGATAGGGGAGGTGAGACCATTCAAGGTAGACAGGAACCCTGCCTGGAGAGGGACTCCCAGGCCACACTGGGTATACCTGTCCCACTGGGGTGTCTGGTCCCTGAGTGGGAGTCTGCTCTGCTACAGAGCAGGCTGTCTGCTCTGGGCTACAGGCTGGCACTGGATGCTCTGGGGGCTGTAGAGTAAATGAGGAGACATGAGCTGTGTGACTTTGGCCCTGTCTACCCAGTGTGTGCCACCTGCTCTGTCCACAGATGCCCCTGAGTGACCTGCGGGAGGGCCTGCTCACATGACAGAGTCAGAGTCCAGGTGCCCTCTCTCTGGGGCTTCCTGCCAGCCTCCAGCAGAGTCAGTTGTGCTGGTCATGGCTCCTCTGCCCATCTCTTCCTGTCTTGTGTTTGTCCCTCTTCTCTGTGTGTCTGCTTGAGTCTTCTTTATCTGTAGGTTTTACTTTCTCTGTCTGGTCTCTTAGTCTCTCTGAAGTCTGTCTCTGATACCGTGTGCTGCCGTCTTAGCATTGCCGCCCTTGAGGCTGGACAGCTACTGTCCGTAGAGGTGCCTGGGCTGGGAAGAGGGAGGGACTCTTGGGATGTGACTCGCACACTTGGGGCTCCCAGTCTAAGAGACAAAATGAGTTCCGAGGAATTCCACAGCTTAGAGCCTCCCAGCGATTCTGCAGGTGGGTGTTGGCCCAGAGGGATGGCACAGCGGAGCTGAGTCAAGAGACACTCCCTCGGAGGGTGTGGAGTGCGGCTCTGAGGGGGACCGGGTTTTGATGTGGGCATCAGGGTATTTGTGGCACTATGGGCAGGGCAGAGGAGTCCAACCAAGCATAGTCTAGGTATAGCGTCTACACCCAAAGAGCTGCTGTTGGGAGTGTGGTACGTGCTGAGGAGAGAAATGAACAGAGCCTAGAGTAGCTATTGCAGGCTACTAGAGGGGTCAGGGAAAGCTTGGCAGAGAGGTAGGATTTGAGCTGGGCCTTGAAAAGCACATAGATGGGAAGAGAGTGTCTTTGGGATGGGGATCAGCAGAGGAGGGGGGTGTCTAGGGAGGCAGAGGGCTTCTCTGGAGAGGATGAGACTAACTTGGCTGGGGCCAGAGGGCAGGGATGAGGAGAAGCAGGAGTCAATCCTGGCTGGATCCCAGGTTGGCCAGGGGCTTACTGAGGAGGGGCTTGTGCCCTCTGCTAGAGCGGGGCTTTCTGATGCCAGGGGATGTGGCTCCTTACCCTCTGAAACCCTTTTCTTCTCCCTTCCTTGTAGTCATCCAGGGAGTCCAGAGCATAGGTTGTTGGTAGATGTGAGATGATTTCAGGGATGTGGTCAGGACTGTGATTTCTGACACTTGCTTTTCCTGTTTGTGCCCCCAGGTATTGCCCTGTATCCCGGTCAGGCCCAGTTGCTCAGCTGTAAGCACCATTATGAGGTCATTCCTCCTCTGACAAGCCCTGGCCAGCCGGGTGACATGAATTGCACCACCCAGAGGATCAACTACACGGACCCCTTCTCCAATCAGACTGTGGTAATTCCTGTCTGCCTGAGCTGGGTCTGGGCAGCTGCTCCGTTAGCCCCGCACCCCTTCTCCCACTCACTCAGTGTGGGGCCTTGGTCCCCAAGCAGACATGCGGCTGTGCCACGTGGACACTTGGCTGTGGTTGGCTCGTTTGCATTCAGGGAGGACAGTGAGGCCTCCAGCCTTTGCTGAGTAATGCTCAGGGATTCCTGACAGTGCGGTGAGACCCTGTCCCCGATGGAAGAATGACAGGGCTAAAGGGTGGGGCTGGTGGGATATAGCAAAGTGGGTCCCATACCTGACCGCTTGACAGAATTGCCAGAATACTTTTTGAAAATACAAATTTCCAGGTTCCATGTGAAGCCAACTGAATTATAATTCCTTAGGTGAGGCCTGGGAATCCGTAGTTTGAAATAAATATGCCAGCATAAAGGAGTGCCAGTATGGGGACAACAACTCCTGGGCCCTGGGCTGGCCGTGTTGTCATGTGCAACAGCACGGCTGGGAAGGATGACTAAGGGATGGGATTCGGAGTGCCCTGGAGGAATGGCACCGCACAGGGTTTCAAAGGCAGGGTAGGCGTTTTGTATTGATTTACATCTCATCTCCTTGCTTCAGAAAGGATTGAAAGGGGCTACAATTAAGTTTTCCAGATGAAATTGGGAAGGAAAGGTTTTCTAGGCAGAGGAAATTGCATCATGACCTAAAGGGAAGAGACGACATGTTGTACTTGTGCCTCTGGGCACAATTGCAGTTGGTGGGGAGATGTTTCATAGGGTCAGGAGCCCTGGAAGACTGATGGCTGATGAAGCTGTGGACAGAGTAATGGCCAGATGAGAAAAGAACATGTATCGTGCTGTAGCGCCACACTTGCTCCCTTGGGTAACAGGGAACTGTTAGTGGGTTTTAAGATGAAAGAATCGCACTAATATTTTTTTGTTAGTACGTGTGCGCTAGTCCCCCTCCTAAAATTCTGCCGAAATGATTCTGTAAGGAACGAGATAAAACAGACTAGAACATCAATAATAGCTTTGCACATAAAGAAAGGGTATCACCAGTGGACCAGACATTTTGAGGAACTGGTATAAAGTATAAAAAACAGCTTGGGCCAGATTGGTGGAGCAAACAAAATAGAGAAAAACCCCTAACCCAAAACAGATGCAGGAGAGACCTGCTGGAGAGGTACAAGCTTTCCTGCCAAACCCCCAGCTTGGAATCAGCACTGTTAGAAAGCAGGGTAGTCATCACTGGACTGCCTGTTGGCTGGGCCAGACACACCCTATACCCTCCCCAGGTATGCAGAGCCGCTGGGGATGGTTGCTTCTGGGTAAAAGACCCTGGAACCATTCTCTACAGAAGCTAAGGGAAGATTCTTTGCTTAGGCATAGGAAACAGCAGACTTCTACAATGGAAAAGGAGAAAGAACTAACGGAAATGACTCTTTCCAGAGTAAAACACACTGGCATACTCAGTGTGCTTCCACAGAGCATACTTAGCTTTCCCATGCAAGGGAGAGGCCTATTAGAGAAACAGAAGTTTACTACTTTGGAAGAAATCAAAACCCAGACCTATACTAGTCAACCTAATCCTTCATTCATAAATAAGAATGGAGAATTAATGGTCACTAGACATTTGCATGAAACCAATGACAGAAAAAGACCAAGATGAACAAATAGAATGGACTCTAGAATAGGGAAATGGAAGCTAATTAAAACAAAAAGGAAAACAACTTTTAAACAATTCCAATGTGGAGTTATATGTATAATAGAAGCTCTCTGTCTGGATTCCCAACTCCCTTCATCCCTCTGTAAAACACGCTAATGAACACTCGTGGCTGCTTCCGGCCCACCAAGTGCCTGTTCTCTGGATGCCCTCTTCTCCTCCCCCAGTTGAAGGGTACGCTTACGAGGAGTTAGTGAGGGTCAATTCCAAACCCGTGTAGGCCAGTTGCACTTGTTACAATAGTTGCATGATTTGACTAAATAGTGTAAAAACCCTTGAAATAAGGGCACAAAGAGAGAGTTGTTTTTATGGAAATGAAGTTGAATACAGCTACTAGCCCCCGGCTCTGAGTGATGGTTCGTCTCCTCCATCAATTCCTTGAAGTCCACAAGCTATAAACAGAGAAGTTATCTCCTCCCTATCCACCAAGTTTCCTACCCAAACCAGCGTATAGCAGTGGAGGAAGAACACGATGAGAGCAGTAGAGCTCCCGTTTGTAAAAGGACGAAGGGGAAGGGCCCGCAGCTCTGCTCTGCAGCAGTGCTGGAACCCTGCGGGGTGGGACCGGTGAGATGCCTTCTTGGCGTGAAGTAAGCTCCTTGGTTTGAACCTGTTGCTGCCCTCAGAAAGAGACTCCTATGTGCTCTGGCCTTGTCCCTGGAACTTCTGCCTTGGTGGTAATGCTCTGTGGCCATATCTGAAGTGGATATTAGAAAATACGCCCTCCCTGGTGGCTGCACAGCTTGTGCCACTCACTTCCTGATTGTGTGAGCGGCTTTAGGGCTAAACAATCACAAACTGGGAGGGTGGCTTCTTACCCGCCTCCTCCTCCCATTGCCTTTGTTTGCAGTGAGATTTCAGAAACATGTAGGCTTCTGGCTGTTCGCATCTAATCAAGTCCATGTGAAAGTGACCCTAGTTGAGGGTCTCATCCTGTTATATTTGTAAAATCTTCGGAATTTTGTGATTTTCTGGTGCTTTCTTTCATTCTCTCAATTTAATGGTAGTTATTTTTTACCAAATGCTCTGTCCGGCACAATAAGGTTTGCCACCTTTCCAGCCTGCAGGATCCTTATCTATTTCCTTACTGCCCGCCATTTTCCCACCGCCCAAATGTTTGGCTGATGCCTCATTTTTAGATTTTTTTGTAACCATGAAACATTCCAGTGTCAGTTAACAAATTGTGTATTAGTCAGAGTATAAGCTAAGCTACCGAATAAAAACAAAACCTGCAAATACGGTGGCTGAGATGAGGGAGAAGTCTCCTCCTCTCTTTGAGAACAGTCCTGGCATGCAGGCTGTGTGGCATAGTGGCCAGTGCTGCCTCATAGGATGGTCCAGCCATGACTTTTGTCTTGTCACTGTGCTGTCCCCTGGGCATTGTTCTGGTCCATGTGGGCAGTGTGTGTGTGTGTGTGTGTGTGTGTGCGCGCGCGCGCACATGCCCAAGCCTGGGAAGGTGAGAAGTGGAGGGCAAGCAGTTCCCTTTTTAGGAAATGGCATGGAGTTGAATGAGTCCCCTTTTCTTCCACACGTTAGGAACTTCATCACATGGCTACATTTGAGGGCAGAGATGAGGCTCCAGCAGGGGGAGTGGATTCTGCTGAAACCTGTGTTGGGAAAGCCGTTCTAGTACTAAAGGAAGAAATGGATAATAGAAACCAGGGACAGTGCTCTCTGTTGCATACTGAAAACGAAATGGCACAGAAAGGTTGAAAAATAAGTAAGATGGACAAAGCTGTCTTTGGAAAATGCAACGAAGACCAGAAGTGGCAATATTAATAGTCAGTGTGGAATTCCATATAAGTTGATGTAAAAGACATTTTTTTCTAAAGTTAATCTACAAATTCAGTTTCCATCACAGTTAAAAGTCCCAATGGATATTTTTTGTGGAACTAAGCAAGCTAGTTTTAAAGCTTACTTAGGGGAACACGTGTTCAAAAATAACCAAGACAAGTTTGGGGATGGGGAAGACTAGTGGGGAGGGCACCGGCCCAGATCTGGGAACAGGGGAAAACCACAGGAATCAAAGCAGCATAGTACTGGACAGAGACAGACAAATGTGTGGGCTCTGTTAGGGCCGGGAGCAGACACAGATGTTGGTTCTATATTGAATTTAGTATAGGATAAAGCAGGGAGGGGAAGAGGCTTTAAAACCTGTCTCTATGCGTTGTTTGGGAAGTAGAAGTTAGAGCCCTATTTCACACTATATGCAGAGCTTAAAGCCAGATATATAAAGTATATAAATGTAAAAAAGGTTAAAAAATGCTATAAAGAAATAGAGGAGAATATTGATATAATTTTGGCTTTCCTCAGCAAGCAAAACCCAAAGCCATAAAGAAAAGGTTTCTTTATGGTTTATAGGTTTGTAAGTTTCCCTATAGTGCCTTCCCTACCAGTCTTCCCCATCCCCAAACTTGTCTTGGTTATTTTTGAACATGTGTTCTTCTAAGTATGCTTTAAAACTAGCTTGCTTAGTTCCACAAAAAAAATTCATTGGGACTTATAACTGTGATGGAAACTGAATTTATAGATTAACTTTAGAAAAAAAGGTTCATAGGTTTCACTACATTAAATTTAAAGTTTCCATAGGACAAGTGACATTGGAAACAAAGTTAAAAGAAAAATGACAGACTGGAAGAAAAGATTGGCACACGTAACAGATGAAAGTGAACATCTTTGCTAAATTAAGGGCTTCCGTAACTCAACCAATGAGAAAAGTGGACAGAGAATGAGCTGCATTCAGCTCTGGTCAGGCATTGTGTGGGGGAAGCTCCCCAGGAATGAGCATGAGTCCCAGCCCGGGCCTGTTCTCGCCTGAACAGGAGGGTCTGGCTAGTGGTCCCTTTGGAGACCACTGGGCGAGGAGCTATGGGTTTTCCAGTCAGTGCTTCTGCCCTCAGACCCAGAGGCCTCTGTGTGCTCTCCCAGGACTGAGACTCTGTCCTTTGTCTCTCTGCAGAAATCTGCCCTGATTGTCCAGGGGCCCCGGGAAGTGAAAAAGCGGGAGCTGGTCTTCCTCCAGTTCCGCCTGAACAAGAGTAGTGAGGACTTCAGCGCCATTGATTACCTCCTCTTCTCTTCTTTCCAGGAGTTCCTGCAAAGGTGGCCTTTTAGAGTTCACAGTGGGCTTACTGTCTACTTTTTATCTCATTCCAGCCATGTACATCCCTGGGCTAGAGATGGAGGGCTGAGGGCAGGGAAGGGAAGGGACATTCCCAGATGACCCATTGGCCCAGGAAGGGACCTCATGAGCTCAGCCGATCCACTCAACATCTTATCAAAAAGTTAAGCGAAGCTGGTGTGGAGGAGCACGCTGGCTGTCCCTGCACATAGTGCTGACTGGTTCTGGAGAGATCATTTGGTCTCGCCATTGCCTGGGGCTGCTGAGGAGTAGGGGAAGTTACCTTTGATTTGTAAGTCCTCTTGAGGGCAAGTTCTTATGTGTTTCTTTGGTTCCACTCCCCACCCCTCCAGTGTGCACAGGACCCACGTCTTGCCCCTAGGGCTCAGTGTGTGTTTGCCTGAAATACAGTTGGCCCTTGAACAACTTGGGGTTTGGGGTGACCAAACTTAACCACTCCTGCCTGTGCAGCCAAAAATTTGTGGATAACTTTTGACTCCCCCAAAACTTAACTACTAACAGCCCACTATTGACAGAAGCCTTACCAATAACATAAACCACACATATTTTGTGGTTATATGTATCATAGACTATATTCTTATAAAGTAAACTAGAGAAAAGAAAATGTTATTAAGAAAATCATGGCCAGGTGTGGTGGCTCACACCTGTAATCCTAGCACTTTGGGAGGCCGAGGTGGGCGGATCACAGGGTCAGGAGATCGAGACCATCCTGGCTAACATGGTGAAACCCCATCTCTACTAAAAATACAAAAAATTAGCTGGGTGTGGTAGCATGCACCCATAGTCCCAGCTACTCAGGAGGCTGAGGCAGGAGAATCGATTGAACCCAGGAGGCAGAGGTTGCAGTGAGCCTAGATTGCGCCACTGCACTCCAGCCTGGGCAACAGAGTGAGACTCCATCTCAAAAAAATAAATAAATAAATAAATAAATAAAAATAAGGAAGAGAAAATATACTTACTATTCATTAAGTGGAAGTGATCATTGTAAAGGCCTTAATCCTCGTCGCCTTCATGTTGAGTGGGCTGAGGAGGACGGGAGTTGGTCTTGCTGTTTCAGGAGTGGCGGAGGCGGAAGAAAATACATGTGTGAATGGACCCGCCCAGCTCAAACCTGTGTTGTTTAAGGGTCTACTGCATCTCTAGTATGATGATGGAAGCTCCGCCACCTCTCTTAGTCTTTGATTTACAGTAATGAATGTCCCCTGACCATCAGAAAGTTCCTGTCTGCTCCACACACACTGCTTTGGGGTCACACCGTGGAGCCTAGAGGGCAGGAGAATTTTCTTCATGTGCCTGAGCTGAGAGAGACTCAGTTCCTGGTCCTGCTGAGCACAGAGGCTCCATTCAGAGCAAGCGGGGAGGCAGCTACCAAGGCAGGGAGGCTGCTCCCCAGCTGGACATGCAGCGAGCTGCCTCCATTCCACACCACTACTGCTTTGTTCTTCCACCCCAGAGCCTCTGCCTTAGCATTTTTCCCCCTTTCTGCCACCTAGAATTCCTCCCTTCCCTGCTTCAAGCTGGCCATCTTGCCTTCCTCCTGGAAGACTTTCCCCGGGATCCCGCCCCCACTCCACACTCCTTTTGTGAGCTTCCTCAGGACGCTGCTGCAGTTTTTACTTGTTTTTATGTTCGCTTTGATTTTGCTGCATCTGCACTGTCTTGGGGCTGATGCTGTAGGTGTCCCACCTGCCTGAGAGCTCCCCAAGGAACCCTCTTCCCCTCTTTGGGCTTTCCAGAGGGAGCTGACAGGCCAGTGAGGGCTTCCTCAGGCTCTGCTCAAGTCCAGAGTTCTCTGAGGAGCCGTGAGCGCCATGTTCTGAGGAGCTTCTGCCAACTTCATTGCCGACAGCTTTGGTAGCAGTAGATAGGAATGATGGGAGGAGGGAGGAGGATTTCTCCCATTGGGAGCTTCAGGGATCATGTTCCTGCCTTGAGGCCAGTGACAACTCCCCCCCTCCATTTGGAAACCAAACGGAGAGAAAACTGGGATGGGCCTTGCTTTTGCTGGTGACTGACAGCCCTGCTGAGGCAACCACAGTTTGGAGAGGAGGCAGGGAGTGGGCAGCATCCTGGTTGTGCCAGCAAGGAAACCAGCTTGCAGTGGGGGCTTCGACTCCTGCTGCCAGACCCGGATTGACGTGAATCTTCCTTCTCCTTCCTTCCTCCAAGCCCAAACAGGGTAGGCTTCATGCAGGCCTGTGAGAGTGCCTATTCCAGCTGGAAGTTCTCTGGGGGCTTCCGCACCTGGGTCAAGATGTCACTGGTGAAGACCAAGGAGGAGGATGGGCGGGAAGCAGTGGAGTTCCGGCAGGAGGTAGGTGGCTCTGGGTTTGCTCGAAACTGCTGGTGACTTTTCCACATTCAAGTCTGAGGTGGAGGGAAGCTTTGCAGAGAAGGGTCCTTTGAGCAGGGCCTTAAGGGTGAGTAGGCCTTGGTCAGGATGAGAAGGGACCCCCATGGAGGGCTTCATACGCTGTGCCAGAGAGTCTGTGTGTGCTTCTGCAGACAGCGCACATACCGGCCAGTCCTCACAGAATGCATGTGTGGGGCAGAGATCACTGCGGCTTGCAGAGAGGTCAGTAACTCATCCAGTCGTGTCTGATGTCCTGTATCTAGCAGCACTGTGAGGGGCTGGCAGTGGCATAGCAGATTGATTATTTGCAGGGAAGAGAGACTAGACACAGTAGTCCCAAGTGTGCATGTTGATCCTTTTCCTAAGGTCCTCTTCAGCTCTCATGGGTGTCACAGCAAGAGATGCCAGCTGTATCTCCTGGCTGCTAGGCCAGTGGGCTGAAAGCTTTTTGATCAGATTTCCCATTAGTAAAGACTTTTTGAGCATATACTCCATATACATACAACTTTGCAGGTGATATAACATACTATTATTGTCCTAATGTTATATACATTTTAAACATTCAAAAACAGAAATGTTAAAAGGATGAGATAAAAATAAATACTAACAAAGCTAGTCTTTTCCTCCTGTATCCCAGTGGCTCATGATGCTCATTTGGAGCAGAAGGACACACTCCAGCCAACTAGGCTGTCACTGGCCAGAAGTCAGGCAGGAGGGGACTGTCTTGGATTAGTGGTAAACAGGGTCCTTTCATGAGCCCTAGCTCCTCAAACTAGTCCAGGCTGGATACTTGGAAGAGGCTCAAAGCCAGTTTTTTTTCGAGGAAGCAAGGCTATTTTTCCTGCCTTGGGAAGTGACAATCCCTCCCGGTGATTGGACCTTACAGTATTCCTGTTTTGTAAGATAACTGTCATCTCCCAGATTTTTACATCCAAATTTGCTCCAAGAAATTCAAGTCCTTTCTTATTTGGCCCCACAACAGTTCTGAGGAAGGAGACTGTGTTCACTTACCTAAGTTCAACCCCACCTACCCTGGCTCTTCTGGTAGCTCCCACTGTGATCCAAAACCAAAGGGTGAAAACCCCAGTGAACCTTTACATTTAAGAAATTTTAGTGTCTTTTATTACTCTCTAAATTGGAAGTCTTTTGTTGGTGTTATGAGCTCCTTTGAACACAACTAACTAATGTGTTTTAAAATCACATTTTAGAGTTTAGAATGCTCTCACATAGGCATGCCCCGTACTGTAGTGACGTAGGCATTTTGTTCACCTTTGCGGGTGGCAAAGCTGAGGCTCAGCTTCGATATGGATCCGAGCCTCTGGGTGGAGCTGGTTTCTGCCTTTGCTACCTGTCTGCTCTCCATTACGCCACACAGCCTCTTTAGTAATTGACTACCAGATCTCACCAAGCACATCTACTGAGTATTTACAGGGAATGCTTAGCTGTGTGGATCTCTGCAGCTGTGCTTTGTCCCTGTAAACTTGAAGGGTTGAAACAAGGGTTGTAAGTTCAGACAAATACTTGGTCTGAAAACCAAGTATTTTGAAATTTGGGATTTTTATTGCTTTTAATTGTGAGTCTTACATGGTAGTTTGAATATGGTTTATTTTATTTTTTTTTTTTGGAGACAGAGTCTTGCTCTGTCCCCCAGGCTGGAGTGCAGTGGCCCGATTTTGGCTTACTGCAACCTCTGCCTCCCAGGTTCAAGCGATTCTCCTGTCTCAGCCTCCTGAGTAGCTGGGATTACAGGCGCCCACCACTACGCCCGGCTAATTTTTGTATTTTCAGTAGAGACGGGGCTTAACCATGTTGGCCAGGCTGGTCTCAAACTTCTGACCTCAGGTGATCTGCCCAGCTCAGCCTCCCAAAGTGCTGGGATTACAGACATGAGCCAACATGCCTGGCCTGAATATGGTTTAATTGTGAGTACAGACACCTAGTGACAAATTTCAGTGATAATCCCAAACACCTATTGTACATCACAGATCCCATTTCCCCAGAGAACTGTGGAAACCAAGGTAAAGTCTTGGCTCTGCTACCAGTGTCAGGATCTTGTATATATGAGATTTTTGCCACTCTGTCTCCAAAAGATAGTGTGAGGAGAACCACAGTCTATGATCCCCTGCCTACTCTCTCTCCTTTCCCTGGACACAGGCAAGGGAAGGGCACACAGAGGTGGTAACACTGCTTTCTCTCCTCCATATCTAGACAAGTGTGGTTAACTACATTGACCAGAGGCCAGCTGCTGAAAAAAGTGCTCAGTTGTTTTTTGTGGTCTTTGAATGGAAAGATCCTTTCATCCAGAAAGTCCAAGATGTGAGTATTATTTAAGATTATGATAGCAAAACTCCTGCCCTGAAGCATTTTGGCTCATTCTTGTAGACTGATAAGTCTACCTACCTGTCCTCATCTTTTTTCATAGCACAAATGGCTTGTAATTTATATGTATGGCATCAGTGTTACGTATTCTTTGTGTTTGGTCTTGTCTTCATCACTAGACTTTCTCTGTAAAGGAGGGGGACTTTAATTTTGCTCATCATAGTTTATCTGGGATATAGTGGAGTGCTTAGCGCAGAGTAGCTGCTTAGTAGTAATGTTCATTGAATAAATTGAGTAGAAAGCATTAAGCTGCTACTATACAGGTTACTGCAGTTGCAAGTTATTCTTTTTCTTAATGGTTCTCTGTAGGATAAATACTACTTGTAAGAACAGAATGGTACAAATAATTAACAAAGCATTAATTAATGCCATATTTTTAAAAAATTGATAAATGTACATATTTATGTGGTACATGTAATATTTTGATAGATGCATACAAAGTCTAATGATCAAAAATCAGGGTAGTTGGGTTACCCATCTTCTCAAACATTTTTAATTTCCTTGCATTGGGAACATTCTTCTAGCTATTTTGAAATATGTAATACATTCTTGTTAACTATAATTGCTCTACTGTACTGTCATGTCGTCTGTCTTACTGTATTTTTGTACCTATTAACCAATTGCTCTTCATCTCTGCTTCCCCCAACCCCTCCCAGCCTCTGGTAACCACCATTTTACTCACTACCTCCATGGGACTCACTTTTTTTAGCTCCCACATGAGTGAGAACGTGTGATATTTGTTTTTCTGTGCCTGGCTTATTTCACGTAACATAATGTTCTCCAGTTTCGTTCGTGTTGCTGCAAATGACAGGATTTCATTATTTAATGACTGAAGAATATTCCATTGTGTATATATACCACATTTTCCTTATCCATTCATCCTAAGTGTTGATGGACACTTGAGTTGATTCCATATCTTGGCTGTTGCGAATAGTGCTACAGTAAACATGGGAGTGTGGACATCTCTTTGATACACTGATTTTCTTTCTTTCTTTTTTTCTTTTCTTTTTTGATTTCCTTTCTTTTGGATATGCACCCAGCAATGAGATTGCTGGATCATATGGTAGTTCTAGTTTTAGCTTTTTAAGGAACCTCCATACTGTTTTTTCATAGTGACTTTAATAATGTAAATTATTACATTAGTCATAATGTAAATTATTACATTAGTCATAATGTAAATTATTACATTCCTACCAACAGTATACAAGCATTCCCCTTTTTCCACATCTTCACCATCATCTGTTACTTACTGTCTTTTTGATAGTGGTCATTTTAACTGAGGGGAGGTGATATAACCTTATTTTGGATTTGGTTTGCATTTCCCTGATTGATTAGTGTTGTTGAGCGTATTTTCATATGCCTTTTGGCCATTTGAATGTCATCTTTTGGGATAAATGGCTATTCAGATCTCTTGCCCATTTTAAAATTGGATTATTTGGCTTTTTTTTGCTGTTGAGTTGTTTGAGTTCCTTATATATTCTGGTTACTAATCCCTTGTTGGATGCATAGTTTGCAAATAATTTCTCTCATTCTGTAGGTTGTCTCTTAACTTTGTTGATTGTTTCCTTTGTTGTACAGAAGCTTTTTAGCTTAATGTAATCCCATTTTTCTGTTTTTGCCGTTGTTGCCTGTGCTTTTGAGGTCTTACCAGAAACATCTTTGTCCAGACCAATGTCCTAAAGTATTATTCCAGTGTTTTCTTCTAGTTTTAGAATTTCAAGTCTTAGATTTGAGTCTTTAATCCATTTTGAGTGGATTTTTTTATATAGTAAAAAATAGGGTCTAATTTCATTCTTCTGCATGTGGATATCCAATTTTCCCAGCACCATTTATTGAAGAGACTGTCCTTTCCCAATTGTATTTTCTTGGTGCCTTTGTCAAAAATGAGTTGGCTGCATATACATGGATTTATTTCTAGATTCTGTGTTCTGTTCCATTGGTCTTATGTGTCTGTTTTTATGCCAATACCATGCTGCCTTGTTTACTATAACTTTGTAGTGTATTTTGAAGTCATGTAGTGTGATGCCTTCAGCTTTGTTCTTTTTGCCCAGGATTGATTTAGCTATCCAGCATTTTTTGTAGTTCCATACAAAATTTAGGATTTTTTTTCTACTTCTGTAAAGAATGTCATTGGTATTTTATAGGAATTGCATTCAATCTGTAGATTGCTTTGGGTAGTGTGGACATTATACTAGTTCTTCCAATCCATGAACATAGGATATTTTTCCATTTTTTGTGTCCTGTTCAATTTTTTCGTCCCTGTTTTACAGTTTTCATTATAGAGATTTTTTACTTCTTTGGTTAAATTTATTCCTAGGTATTTTATATTTTTATAGCTATTGTAAATGGGATTGCTCTATTTTTTATTTTATTCTTGCATTGCTATGAGTCTTTTAGATTGTTTGCTGTTAGCGTATAGAAATATTCCTGATTTGGGTGTCTTGATTTTGTATCCTGTGACTTTACTGAATTTATCAGTTCTGCCAGTTTTTTGGTGGAGTGTTTAGGTTTTTCAAAGTATAAGATCATGTCATCCGCAAACAAAGACAGTTTGACTTCTTTTCAATTCGGATGCCCTTTATTTCTTTCTCTTGTCTAATTGCTCTGGCTAGGACTTCCAGTATTATGTTGAACAAAAATAATGAAAGTAGGCATCCTTGTCTTGTTCCAGATCTTAGAAGAAAGACTTTCAATTTTTCCCCATATGATGTTAGCTTTGGGTTTGTCATGTATGGTCTTTATTGTTTTTTTTTTTTTTTTTTTTTTTTTTTGAGACGGAGTCTCGCTCTGTCGCCCAGGCTGGAGTGTAATGGCATGATCTCAGCTCACTACAACCCCTGCCTCCCAGGTTCAAATGATTCTTGTGCTTCAGCCTCCTGAGTAGCTGGGATTACAGGTGCACATCACCATGCCCAGCTAATTTTTGTATTTTTAGTGGAGGTGAGGTTTCGCCATGTCAGACAGGCTGGTCTCAAACTCCTGACCTCAAGTGATCTGCCTGCCTCGGCCTCCCAAAGTGCTGGGATTACAGGAGTGAGCCACCGTATCTGGCACATTGAGAGTTTTTATCATGACAGTATGTTGAATTTTATTAAATGCGTTTTTACCATCTATTGAAATGATTACATGATTTTTGTTCTTGATTCTGTTAATGTGATGTGTTACATTTATTGATTTGCATATGTTGAATCATCCTTGCATCTCTGGGATGAATCCCACTTGATCATAGTGAATGATCTTTTTAATGTATTATTGAATTTGGTTGACTGATATTTTGTTGAGGACTTTTGCATCTGTGTTCATCAGGGTATTGGCCTGTGGTTTTCATTTTTTGTTGTGTCTTTGTATCAGGGTAATGCTGGCCTTGCAGAATGAGTTTGGAAATATTCTTCAATTTTTTGGAATAGTTTGAGTAGAATTGCTATTAATTTTTTTTTAATGTTAGATAGAATTTAGCAATGAAGCCATCAGGTGCTGGGCTTTTCTTTTGTCACTGCCTCTATCTTGTTACTCATATTGGTCTATTCAGGTTTTCTGTTTCTTCATGGTTCAATCTTGGTAGACTCTGTATCCAGGAATTTTTCCACTTCTTTTAGGTTTTCCTTTATTGGCATACAGTTTTTCATTAAGTCTCTAATGATCCTTTGTATTACTGTGGCATCAATTGTAATGTCTTTTATTTTGGTCTGATTTTATTTATTTGGGTCTTCATTCTATTTTTCTTAGTCTAGCTGAAGGTTTATTGATTTTGCTTAACTTTTCAAACAACTAACGTTTCTTTTTTTTTCCTAAAACGGCGTCTTGTTCTGTCACCAGGCTGGAGTGCAGTAGCGCAATCTTGGCTCACTGCAACCTCTGCCTCCTGGTTTAAACGATTCTCCTGCCTCAGCCACCCAAGTAGCTGGGATTACAGGCACCCGCCACCATACCCGGCCAATTTTTGTATTTTTAGTAGAGACAGGGTTTCACCATTTTGGCCAGGATGGTCTTGATCTCTTGACTTGTGATCTGCCCGCCTTGGCCTCCCAACGTGTTGGGATTACAGGTGTGAGCCCCTGCGCCTGGCGTCAAACAGCTAACTTTTCATTTAAGTTTCAATTTCATTTATTTCTGCTCTGATCATTATTATTCTGGTAAATTTGGGTTTGGTTTCTTCTTTTCTAGTTCTTTGAAGTGATCATTAGCTTATTTGAAATCTCTACTTTTTTTGATGTAGGCATTTATTATAAACTTCCCTCTTAGTACTGCTTTTGCTGTATCTCATAGGCTTTGGTATATTGTTTCCATTTTCATTTGTTCAATAAATTTTAAAATTTCTTTCTTAATTTCTTCATTGACCTTTGGTCACTACGGAGCATCATGTTTAATTTCCATGTATTTGTACAGTTTCCAAAATTCCTCATTATTGATTTCTGGTTTTATTCTATTGTGGTCAGACAAGATACTTAATATGATTTTGATTTTTCTGAATTAGTTGAGACTTGTTTTGTGGCCCAACATATGGTCTCCCCTGGAGAATGTTCCACGTGCTGATGAGAAAAATGTGTATGCTGTAGCAGTTGGAGTTTTGAGATGGAATCTTGCTCTGTTGCCCGGGCTGGAGTGCAATGGCGCAAACTCGGCTCACTGGAAGCTCTGCCTCCCGGGTTCACGACATTCTCCTGCTTCAGCCTCCCGAGTAGCTGGGACTACAGGCACCTGCCATCATGCCTGGCTAAATTTTTTTTGTATTTTTTAGTGGAGACAGGGTTTCACCGTGTTAACCAGGGTGGTCTCAATCTCCTGACTTCACGATCCGCCTGCCTTAGTCTCCCAAAGTGCTGGGATTACAGGCGTGAGCCACCGCTTCTGGCCAGATGAAATGTTTTGTAAAGGTCAGTTGGGTCCATTTGGTCTGGAGTATAGTTTAAATGCAATGTTTGTTGATTTTCTGTCTA